TCTTTTTTAATATATTTATTGGAAATATCTTCTACAAAACTTCTTTGTCCATGGCTGCAGCATGGTTTTCATTATTCTGATTCATTCATTAGGAGGAATGAATTTTAATTACCGTACTAAAATTGAATTTATTAGGAGTAATGAATTATGATTACTGGAAAGTGAATTGTGAAAAACACAGAAAAAAAAAATTTGAAAAAAAGTTATTTTTAAATTTCAAGTGTTGAATTTGTTAAAGAATCAAAGTAAATATCAGTAAATGAAACTGGTTGTTTAGTAAAATAAGGAAGGCTTGGCATTCAAGCTTCATTCAAACAAATTTACAGTTACCTAAAATAAGAGTAATTGACACCAAATACTAATCAATAAATTGCAACACATATAACCAACAACAGAAACATTTATATGATGGAACTTACATTAAGGTACAACTAGGTAAAACAACTGGGTACTGCAATGTTAGGCTTAATGCTAACACAAGAAACAAATTGAACTTTTATTGTGGGACTTGATCCCAAAGACAACAGGTCCTAAGCTTGAGTAAGCAGAAATTAGGAATGAGACCAGCTCCTGAAGGTAAGCTTGGTAGTGGTATCACTAGAGGTTCACCCTTAGGCCAGGTTCATTCAAAAACAAATGAACCTGGCATAACATAACTGTCAAGAAATAAAAAACCTTGATAGGAAGCACTCAAAATAAATGAAATGAAAATCAAAGAGTGATCACTCTAGGTAATAATTAGGGAGGGATGGCTTGACACTCTCCTACCTGAGCAACATTATTTGGACGTTTTCACCTGTAAATCTTTCTTCAAACTTCCCTTATTTACAAACCCATACCTAACAAAATGTATGGAGAAAAATATTTTACAACTCAAGAAATATGCAAATTTTCAACATCACCTGGGTTCAACAAATGGGTACAACAACTTGTGTATTAAATAATAATATATTCCAATTTGCAGGGAGTCAAAGTTCTTCAGATGACGGTAACAGATCACAAGGCAGGTCTCAGCAAGGATTTATAATCTATTTAATGACATTTTGAATGTATCAACATTAATTCTCAAGTTAATAGAAGCATTGAAGACTGCAATATAATGCATTCTCTGGTCATTAGTAATATGCGTTCCAACAGTAAAATTCTGCCATCTAATGCTAAAAAATATTACTGCACATAATATTACTACTGACACTACCAGTACATTGCTGCTGCACTGCACCCTCTTCAATAAAAATATCAAATGACCAATAATGTGGGGACATGCCATTTCTTTGTTTTAATTCATTTCCATTTTAAACATTTCATACAATGGATGTGTGAGGCCTCATTCAAGTACTTGTTTATAACTCACAGTAACACATTATGAGCACAACATTACTTCTTGAAAATAAAAACTAAATATTGTTACTTATAACCTTGCTGATATGGTGCATAAGGGCCATTTCTATGTGATACTTTTGCCTATAAATATGATTTGTGTTTTTTGAGTCACTTTGATTATACTGACCTAGTACTAAGCTTCATAAGCACCTTGCTCTTACTTCTTCTTCTTAAATAACTTGGTGATTGGGCCACTAGAGTAAATGTTGACACCTGAGGAATGATAGTGTGATTGATGTGAGGGTTGATAGTCACATTATTTACACTGATTTAGTCTTGATAAGTTTAATGTGCACCTTGCACACACGTCAGCCAGAGATATAGCGTGGTTGATGNATATCACATACTGGCAGTACAATGTACTTACAATGACCTTCATTGCCAGTAATGAGACTTGAGGCAGTAAATAAATTCTTTAAAGTATTGCAAATTATAGTAAAAAAATATAACTCAGTACTCACTGCAGTGAGTGACAGAGAGCTCATTTTCTTGTTGACAAGAACGTGAAGTCACGGACAGACAGACGGATGGACACGATGAGCGCAATAGCGTTTTTTTCTTCCATAAATGAGAAAATGCACTAAAACCATATCAAATTAATTATTTTTTGATGAAACTTGGGATTCTACAATTTATTGTCAACATAAAAACAATTGTGAGAATTTATTACAAAACGGTGATATTATCAGATGTAGGCCTGATTATCTTGCTGAAAGTTCTGCAGCAAATAATGTCATTTAATTTTAATTATGATATTTATATGTATCATAATTAAATTTTTAATTATGATACATATAATTATAAAAGTAATTAAATAATTTATTTAATTATTTGATTTTAATTATGATATTAACTTACACTGGATGAGACAAGTAAATTTGAATAATAATTTTGTCTTACATAAATGATTGTTAATATATTTAAATTTCATTGCTAATTGAATGATTGTGAGCTTAGTGTTAATAATGGTGCAGCTGGCAGAATTAACAATCAATATGAATGGTGATGTGGTGGTATGGCTGGCATACTCATTCATTATGAATAATGGCTTACTCATTAATTATGAATAATGGTATGCATTCAAAATAAAAAAAAAATGAAATTGGTGCCTGGCAATTAAAATTAAAAAAATTTAAATTGGTGCCTTGCATTTAAAAATAATAAAAAATTCAAATTGATGTTTGGCATTTAAAATTAAAAAAATCACATTGGTGTCTTGCATTTAAAAATAATAAAAAAAATTCCAATTGATGCCTGGCATTCAAAATTTCTATGAATAACGGTGCATAACGGCGTGGCTGGGTTCAGGTATCACCGTATGAAGGAAGTGGAGTCCCCGGATGACCTGGCCCGTAGGAACTACCTTGCTAAGGAGAGGTGAGTTCCTTCGGCTCTAGGACATCTTTATGATAAATAATAGAAATAACTGAACAAATACATCTTTATTATAATAATAAAATAATTGAACAAATAAAATGTATGAGGAATTATCTTTTTTATCAAGAAATGAAAATAATGGACAATGAATCTTTTAAAAATTTTATTGAAACTTTGATGGAAAAAAATGATATATTTGTCTCTCATATTTAATTGCACTAATTGACTATTAATATTAATTAAGTCCCATACTAATGCAGAATCAAATTACAATAATATTAAGAGTGTCCGCAGAAAAATAAATATCTGCTACTCAGTATTGATATTTATGTACATATTAATAAATTTATAAATATTAATGAAATAATGCAGTTTGAATGGGTATATAGCATTTAAGGGGACCGTTTCAGTCCCATAAAAAGTTCTACATTTATCAACCAATCTTTCTGAAATTTCACACACATATGTAAAATGTTAAATAAGAAATAATTTGCTCATATGAATTTTTTCAAATAAGTGAAAGAAACCGCAAAATTATTAGAAAACAGAAAAGGGGGTACTTCAAAAATTCATAACTTTTGCAACTCACATGCTATAATTTTGAGACACGTTTCTTTCAATTCGTAATAAAATTATCTATGGGCTCTAGAGCCCCAATTTTCAATTTTCTCCGTCGTTTTTATTTCATGCCCGTTTCTCCATTTTTTGATTATGAAGATCTGATTTGAAGCTTTAAATTCATAGCAAAAATCAAAAAGTTAATTTTTGATTTTAACTGAAACAGCCCCCTTGAGACTGGCTAGGCTTGGTGCCTCCACTTCCTACATACCCGTGAATTGTTCCATGTATAAGTTTGAGTGTAATATTATAGGAGCATGACTGTGATATAAATGTTGATAAACTATAAAACTATTTATTTCATTGTAAAATGTTTAAATATGTTGAAAAATGCCAAAATGTGTACCCACTATACAGTACATGTACTGCCACTATACAGTACATATGTACTTGCTATACAGTAAATGTACCGTCACTATACAGTACATGTACTGCCACTATACTGTACATGTACTGCCACTATACAGTACATGTACTGCCACTATACAGTACATGTACTGCCACTATACTGTACATGTACTGCCACTATACAGTACATGTACTGCCACTATACTGTACATGTACTGCCACTATACAGTACATGTACTGCCTCTATACAGTACATGTACCTGTCTCTTATACACATCTAGATGTGTATAAGAGACAGGGTATGTACTGTGTATTGCATACTGTGGTATGTACTGTAGTAATATGTATTGTGTACTGGGGTGTGTATTGTGATATGTACTGTGTATTGTGATATGTACTGTGTACTGGGGTGTGTACTGTGTACTGACATTAAGTCCCAAAAAACAGAGTTGAGGGTCTCATCCTCAAAGGTTTTGTCTGACAAACAATGATCAATTGCCATAAACTGGTCCTGACGTCAGGTAGTATTGTGCCTGATGAAATGTGTGAAGAAATGAACAGGATAACATTTAGATTACAATATCTAAATCTACATAGCTTTTATTTAGTTCACTCAATTCATAATGTTTGAAATTTCTTCAACATTTTTCAACAAGTTGCAACTGCTATGTACTTTTTCTGCCACTCATTTCATGTTGTTTCATTGAAGTCTTGAATGAATACAGGAGCAGGAGCGTTTTTTCACGATATTCAGTGCAGCATTCATGAGCTATGGTATTCATTCATCATGAATGAGGCTCGAGTCTTTAAATCAACTGCATGGCATCCATACACTGAGAGAAATGAGTGAGATTTTGTAAAAATAGTGACATTAACTTCTCTAATGTCAACATGACAGTAAGTTCTCTGAGCTGTGAATGGTGGCCTCGCATTCCATTATTACTATTATTCATCATCATTATTTCATCATTATTCAAGTTGAGAAATAAATTTCATCTTGCAACTTCCTGACAATTTCAGGAATGTGTGTTTAGTTGTTTCATAATTACTTAATTAACTGATAACTTTATAAAATGGAATTGCATCTCTGCCCAACACAAGAAACAAGTTAATCCTACAATGGCAATGTAATTGTAAAAATTTCATGGTAGTGGATTTAGTAATTTGAAAATTATTTCACTAATTGATAACTGGCCCAATTAGTAAAATAACAGTAATACAAATTGATTACTCAGAGCAAACATTCATGCAAGTCATTAAGTGACATTAGCTTACAATATTTGTCCAAGGAAATGTCTGCTTGTCTATACTTATTATTACACCTCTAGGAAATAAATGTTTATTTCCTAATTTTAAATCCCGGTATAGGATTTTTCTTGGTGAGTTTCTGGTGAAAAATCTCTTGAATTCCACAAGGTGCTGTGGGCAGTTAAACACAATAGTTAAACACTATTTATTATTCAGTTAACTTACCTTCTTCCAAGTACATTTGAAAAGGAGAATTGGAGAATAACAATCTGATGGCGGCTCATAGCCAACCTGTGAGATTTCAGCACCATTATCATTTTTTACAACACTTTTCTTTAACTTCACTTCTTGCTGTTTGTTTGTCTGCTACTAATCTTATAATCGAAATTTAACACACTTCTACTTGTCCTATCGATCTGAAATTTTGCACACTTGCGTAAAATTAGAGATAATGCATGAATCACATGACAAAATAAATGATTTTGAAAGTTGAAAAATTGCTTAGAAGTGTTGTCTTTAAAAGTAATTTTTAAATGTATATTTTATTTCAATTCATTTTCCTAGCTAAGATACCGCCAGTAGCTCTTCTTGCGATTCAGAACAGATTTTTATGGTTGCATAAGATGGAAAGACTAAGCTGCTCTCAGCACTAAGCTGTACTAAGCACTAAGCTGCACTAAGTACGAAATAGCACATCACTGTACGCAGGTACTGGCGCATGTAGAGCACTAATCTCTACTAATCTTTACTAAGCTGTACTAAGCACTAAGCTGCACTAAGTACTAAATAGCACAGCACTGTACGCAGGTACTGGCGCATGAAGAGCATGGAGGGCAAGATGACGCGGGAGTACAGCAGCAAGTACAGCAAGCACAGCAGCGGCGCCCACCACACGCAGGCACTGCTGCTGGCCCTGCAGAAGGTTACGGAGGAGCACCTGCGGGTCAAGAAAGGTGGGTCAGGTGGAGGAGCACCTGCGGGTCAAGAAAGGTGGGTCAGGTGGATGAGGCTGGGTCAGGTGGAGGAGCAGCACCTGTGGGTCAAGAAAGGTGGGTCAGGTGGAGGAGCACCTGCGGGTCAAGAAAGGTGGGTCAGGTGGATGAGGCTGGGTCAGGTGTAGGAGCATCACCTGTGGGTCAAGAAAGGTGGGTCAGGTGGAGGAGAAGCACATGTGGGTCAAGAAAGGTGGGTCAGGTGGAGGAGCACCTGTTGCTCAGGTGCCCCAGTAAAGGCGGTGGCTCCAGGGGATGGGGAGGGAGTGGAGGATCCACTCCAAGTATGTCGGAGAAGGATGGAAGCGATGAGAGGAAAGGGTTAGACCAGGGCCTATGCTTTAAAAAAAAGTTAAGAGATCGTAAGTTCATCAGCCAATCATTGACGGGCTTTCAAGCAAAATCCAGCAATCATATACAAGAAAATAGAGCGTAAGTACTTACGTTCACTTAGCCAGTTTTGTAAGTATGGCCCCTGAGGTGCAGTGGGGTTAGCGAGGTGGGGTGCGATGGGCAGCTGAAGAGGTGATGGGGGTGTGGTCCAATGCCCCGCACTTGGTCATCCAGAATGAGGGTGGGTTAGGTGGAGGAGGGTGGGTGAGGCAAGGTAAGGGGTGGGTTACGTCTGAAGATGTATGAGTCTCATACTCATTTTTTTGAGTTTCGTGACAGTGCTTTTTTGAGGCTCCAGTAATTATGTCGATCTCATGACCAATATTTTTATCAACCCTTCAGCTCATGGACAACATAACTATAAATTGTATATCTTACATACGTAGATATCTACATATATACAAATCAATATATTTTTAGAGCTTTCTTCTGATATTTCTTGTTGTTTTCAGAGCAAGAAGAACGTTACCCCAACATGGAGTCTGATGGAGTTGAACTGCACGACCTCAACCAACAGCAGCAACAACAACATCAACTTGCGGGGGAGGCCCTGGCTATGGACGACCACGGGTCTCCACCAGACCACCTGCAGCAGCAGCACCTTATGGCGCCCTCTGGGTCTCATCACGACCGCCGGGGTCTGCAGGAAGACCCTGTCCCGCTAGACCTCCAGCGCCATCACCAGGAACAACAGCAGCTCCATCAACACCACCAACAGCAACAACAACAACATGCGCATGACATGCATGATGTGCATGGAGCACAACAGCGCCACTCCATGCCCTCCTACATGGATCATCTGGAGCACATGGACCAGCTGGAGCAGAAGCACATGCCTCACTTGTCCCTCCCACCGTCCCACCATGCCCCGCCCCACTCAAGGGCCCTGGCCACGCCCCCTGGTTCGTCCCTCCCACTCACGCCTTTGTCCCGCCTCCAGGCGGGCCCTCCCATCAACAGCTCCCTGCCAATCACGCCGCTGTCCCGGGCCCAGCTGGTCCCCCTATCTGAATCTCCGCTCCCAGCTTCTCACTTGTCTCGGATCGAGGCCCCGCCCAACGAATCCAGTATGCCAATCACGCAGCTGTCCCGCTCCCAGCTCACTGGGTCTCTGCCAATCACAGCTCATCTATCCCGCTCCCAGCTCCTCCCATCACTTTCTTCTCAGCCAATCACATCACATCTCTCCCGCTCCCAGCTCCTCCCATCACTTTCCTCACAGCCAATCACATCACATCTTTCCCGCTCTCAACTCCTCCCCTCGCTATCCTCTCAACCAATCACATCACATCTCTCCCGCTCTCAACTCCTCCCCTCGCTATCTTCTCAACCAATCACGTCACATCTCTCCCGGTCGCAGCTCCACCCCGCGGGTTCCTCGCAACTCCCCTCGCCCCGCCCACTTCTCTCGCCCCGCCCCCCGCTGAGCGATGCAGACGCTATTGCTGCACTGCAGCATCACTTGACGCCGCAGCAACTGCAGCAACATCTTGTAGCCTTGCAGCAACAGCAGCATGAATCTGAGCAGCTACATCACGAACAGTTGCAGCAAGACCGCTTGCAGCAACAGCATGAACAGCTGCAACAGTTGCAACAGCAACAAGAGATGCAGCAACAAGAACAACAACAACAACAGCTACATCATCATCAACAACAGCAACAACAACAACAAGCGCTAGAAATTTACGATCGAAGCTAAATTTACGAAAAAATGTACGAAAAAATTTACGAATAGGCTCGATCTATTAAAACTATGAATATCTATAGGTATATATTTAGCCTGTATTATTGAGAAAATGATGAAAATCTGAATTAAAAATCCCGATATTGGCAGCTATGATGACTACAATTAAATGTTTAATGTGATACCACGTACTATGGTGCATGTAATGGTGATATGTGCTATCGGTTGTACAATGTACAGAGCTGTCCCTGCCACCATTACTGTTAAAGTACAGCTACTTAAAGTACAGCTACTTTAAGTACAGCTACTTAGAGTACAGCTACTTATGAGGTGTTAGTAACTATGTACATTACTACTTAAAGTGCTAGTGATGCTATTTGTACATTTCTGCTTAAAATGTAGCTCTGTACATTTCTGTAGCTCTGCACAAACTGCTACTGCAATCCTAAACTTGTACTGATAGTGCTTTAAAAAAATTTAAAAACATTTTTTTTAAATTTTTTTTTCATAAGCGCTTGTTACATTTTCCATCATTGGCTCTCTCGTGGCAGCTGCCATTGGCTCTCTCGTGTTTTATTATTAAATATTATTCAATAATACATTAATGTTTTTTAACAATTAATTAATATTATTTTAATCAGATTGAAGATTGGTCAGTATTTGACGTCGTTGGTGCCGATAAGTTCCTTTAATGGGCATGTAATGGTAAAACTAATGGTATAATGGTAGCAGTAATGGTAGGAGTAATGGTGTCCGGTACTTAATACATCCTACATGATCTTCTTCATAATATTTTATCACATGACTTGTAATTATGAAGGTTAAAGCATGAAGGCCGTAGCATTATTTGGTTTTATTTCAGTTCAATGCAAAATGTCATCATACATTTTATTTTGATTTTAGACTTGGTGTAGGACTTGTAAGATTTATGGGCTCATTAGACTTGGTGTAGGACTTGTAGGACTCATTAGACAAGTAGGACTTATAGGACTTGTAACAGACGTGTACTAAGCTCACACTGATATAACATTTCACTTCCATTTACTATATTTATCATTATTTTAGTTTAGTTATTATTTTGATTTGATTTGTACATCACATTAATTTTTTTAAAGATGGACTTCCTGCCTCCGCGTGCATCACTTTTTCATCAATTAAAAATACTTTTTTAAGTTGATGAAGTTTTTAAATGAGTTTTAGATGAACTTGTCTAGATATTCTCACCAGCTAGCTGCACTGAGTGAAATAAGTGGGTCTATGTGACCCACTTAGAGGAGTCAATTGTGTCGAAATAGTGATGCTATTTTTGTCTCGTTTGTGTGTCATAATGACCTATTTTTGCCTCGTTTGTGGGTCATAATGACCTATTTTTGCCTCGTTTGTGGGTCATAATGACCTTTTTTGCCTCGTTTGTGGGTCTTAATGACCTATTTTTGCCTCGTTTGTGGGTCATAATGACCTATTTTTGCCTCGTTTGTGGGTCATAATGACCTATTACATTTAAAGTATTACTCGCCTGGAATTTACAGGATCATTAATAGGTCAATATGACCCAGAAAATGGGCAAGTGAATCAAAAAGTGCGTTGATATTTGGACACGGTTGATTCATTTAATTGAGTCATGTTGACACACCCATTTCTGTCAGTGTCGACTGAGATTTTAACTAGTTTTGAACTTAATGATTGTAGTTATTAATAACATCAAGTTCTTTTTATCAAAAGGTCTTCTCAAAAAACGAATCTCGGAAGAATGAGACGTTATCGCAGTTTCTGGTCTTATCTCTGCTTATCTTCAATGATTATAATTATTGTTTTTAATTAATGATTCACTTGTTTTCATTACTTTCAACATTATATGTTGATTTTCTGATCAATGTGATTTTTTCGTAGTTTTCGTATTTTTGTGTGATTTATATTTCAAGTTTCGTATTTCTTTCTTCGACTTTAAAGCTTTAGTTAAAGCTTTAGTTAAAACTTTAGTTAAAGCTTTAGTTAAAGCTTT